GCGCGGTTGATTTTTCTCTTTCTTGTGCCTCCGGACGGTGCGGCGCCGCAACACAAAAATCAATTGCAACAGGTGCAGCAGGCGCGCACGTCTAGCCTATGACGTTTAATAGGCTTTTTCTTAATTCCTCCCTATTATCCAGCATTTTCGCTTATCCGACGTTCTGCCGGCCCGTTTATGTCGGATAAGCAAGACTCTACTGTATATTGTGACCCAAAAGGTTAAAAAAATAATAATAATAATAAAGCCTTGTTTCTCAGGGAGTGCTAATTCAAATGTACCACTTCTAGTCTGAGATAACCTGCGTAGCCTTGGAGTGGTGGATTGTTTGCTGATAATCACATTTTGTTACTTGAAGAAACTGTACACCATTTAGTCTTCTCCTGGTTGTAGATTTGTAGCTATTCAAGTGATAATTTAAAAGAGCTAAAAATATTCTCTGTAAGTGAGGTAAATATGTTTGTCTGGGTGATTGTTGTAGACCTCCAATGAGACTGTCTGGTGCTAGTCTGAGATTATTTCAAAGTCTGTTTTTTTTAGTTTTATGTGCCCTGACCTGGAAAAAAAGCCCCACTCAATTTGTTAATGATTTATTTTTAAATAAACATGTATAGATTATACTGCAAGTGATAATACATATCTACTATTTAAGTGTTTTAAGAAATGTTGAGATCAAGTGTCTTGCTTTTTATTCTGGTGCTGTAGTGAAATGCATGCAGTTACAAACATAGAAACGACCCCTTTCATAAGAGTCCTGAATAAAAATCTTGAGGTACCTTTATTTGCCTGTTTAGGATGTCATGATGTCTCTTCCCCCTTTGAAGCAAGGAATAACTATTTCTGTACCAACAGACATGCAAACAGTAAGGTATATTTTAAAATGTTATATTTTATTTCTGTTTCATTATTGGTAAGAGACTAGCCCTATTTCATTAAACAAAAACCATAGGAAATTGCTGGTTGGCATCATAGAGCAAAATTAATATTTAAATTGGCTTGCTTATTCATGTTCTCTTAATAAGATACTGAAGAATGTTTTAGAATATTAATGTTAAGCATGTTTTTATTCAGCAGAAGATTGGTTAAATTCAGTTTAATAGCTCACTTCTTATGTATCTTGCTTGTATTCTAGATGCATTTTTCGTAATTAGCTGGGATCAAAACAGCCCTGTGAACAGAGGGCACACCCATATTTCCCCCCATGCTGTTTTTCAGGGGGAATAAGGATCATAGATTTTAAAAAAAGGATTCCTGATTCATACATGCGATTTCCCAGCCAATACCTTTATAGACATTGCTAAGATTTTCTCAAACGGTTGTGTTTTATTTTAGCAACTTGCATGAGAAAACTACCAAAATCCAGGAAGTGGAGGATTATCTCTATGATAACAACTTTGGCATGAAGTAAGCTTTTTCTCATCATGAGAACCAATATTTATAAAGTCCAAGTAATTCATATACTTAGTATAAAGATCAGGCAAATGTATTTACAGCCACTACTTGAAGTAGGTCTGATTCTGTGCATTTCAAGAAATGCCACTCCTAGTACTCCGTCTCTTAAAAAGTAAAGATGGCTCCTTATTACCAACTGGGAGCCTCTAATTTGAGTTGGCCTTAATACTTAGCTGAAATGTGTGGTTGCTAGTAATCCTTAATTTTCCTGCAACAGCACAGTCTTGACTATGATGATGTGCTGCGCTTCAGAGGCTCTGAGCTCTCTGAATTTCAGAAAGGCAATATTCTCTACTCTGATACACTTGGAAAAAGACAGCCCTTTTCTCTGAATTACAGTGGTACCTCGGGATACAAACACCTCTACTAACGAACTTTTCGGGTTACGACCAGCTCCGGCCGCAAAAATTTACCTCGTTGCGTGAACTCTGCCTCGGGG